TGCCTGCTCCCCTTTTCTTCCTGGTACAGGGGTCCTCATAAGCCTTTTGCGCCCCCTCCACGGTCAACAGAGCTCCCCCTCCCCCACCTCCCTCAAACAACCGGAGCCTGGCCCTCCCTGGAGTCCCCACTCTCCTGGCTCCAGGCAGCTCCAAAGGTCCCCTCGGCTCGGCTCTCCGTTGGCTCCGCGGTCCTTGGCCCCCCGGGTGAGAGCCCCAGCCACCCTGGCCGCCTGGCTGCCCTCCTTCAGCCCTCCTGCCTCCACTGGCCGGCCCACTCCTGGGCCTTCTGCCCCCAGGGATTTGTCTGCATCCCACGTAAGTCTGGGCTCAGCTGCCACAAAGCCAGCACGGCCACTGCTGCACCCTGCCCACCAGCACAGTCACTTCATTTCTTCCTTCATGACCGTCGCCTGGGTGGCTCAGGGCTGGGGCTCCAGGGCGGCATCTGCCCTGTCTGGGACCTCGGGAGTGTGAGAGCTGGTGCAGGGGGGTGTGGCCACCTGTGAATGGGGAAGGAGTTCAGGGCCATGAGTGGATCAGCTCTAGTGGGTCAGAAGTTGAGGGGTCACCAAGGCCTGGATCAAGTGGGTCCCCGAGGAGGCCCACCTTCCCGACAGGGGTGGGCAGACAGGGCAGAGGTTCAGAGGGAAGACGTCTGGGACTCGCAGACATGGAGAGGCCAGAAGTCAGGGTGACTCCCAATTTCTATCTTGCCCTGTTGGTACAACCCCCAGCTGCGCCCCCAGTCCCGGCAGTTCCAGATGCACCCGTTCCCGCGCCCTGGTGGGCTCAATGGTGTTCCCTCAAAAAGATATGTTCGGCCTGTCCAGTGGCTCAGTGGCTGGGCGTCGACCCTTGCACAAGAGGTCAAGGTTCAATTCTCCATCAGGGCACATGTTGGGGTTGCAGCCCATCCCCCGTGGAGGGTGTGCAGGAGGCAGCTGATTGATGTTTCTCTCTCATCGATGTTTCTATCTCTCCTCTCTCTCTCTCTCTCTCTCTCTCTCTATATATATATATATATATATATTTGATTTGAGAGAAAGGGAGAGGGAGAAAGATAGAAACATCAATGATGAGAGAGAATCATGGATCAGCAGCCTCCCACACTCCCCCCTCTGGGAATTAAGCCCACAACCCGGGCATGTGCCCTCGACCGGAATCGAACCCAAGCAGCAGGCCGTCGCTCTATCCACTGAGCCAAACCAACCAGGGGGAAAAGTACATTTTTAAAAAGACATGTCCGCGTCCTAATGCCAAACCCTGTGAATGTGGCCTCCCTGGGAAAGGGTCTGTTCGTGAAGCCCAGGATCTTTTTTTTAAAATATATTTTATTGATTTTTTACAGAGAGGAAGGGAGAGGGATAGTGAGTTAAAAACATCAGTGAGAGAGAAACATCGATCAGCTGCCTCCTGCACACCCCCTACTGGGTATGTGCCTGCAACCAAGGTACATGCCCTTGACCAGAATCGAACCCGGGACCCTTCAGTCCGCAGGCCAACGCTCCATCCACTGAGCCAAACCGGTCAGGGCAAAGCCCAGGATCTGGAGGTGAGGTCACCCCGATTGCCTGGGCCAGCCTCAATCCACGCCCTCGGGAGATGAGATGGACAGCCAGGGGTTGGCCGTGTGAAGACAGAGGCAGCGCCTGGGGCACCCGACCCAGAAGGACAAGACAGGGCTCTCCTTACAGACTTGGGAGGGAGCACGGCCCTGCCAACCTTGCTTTTGGACTTCTGGCTTCCAGGGTTGTGAGGGAATCACTTTCCCGGAAAAAATGACTCTTCTGGGATGTCCCAAATGTGTCCTCAGGTTCCCCCAGCGCCTCCCCTGAGCGTGCCTCCCATCTTCACCTGGGCCAGGATGGTCCCTGACGGGGGTCACTCCGTCTGTGGTCGTTTGTTACAGAGGCCCCCAGGCACTAACACACTGCCCTCCTGAGCCGGGGCACACAGCCCTGCCTGTGTCCGCTTCCAGCTCCAGCCTGGGGGTGTGTGCGGGCCCCACGCCAGGGGACAGGGCTGGCCGGGGCTGGAGAGAACGAGGATGCTCCCAGCCCAGAGCTACCCTCCTGTGCACATGATGTCTGTGCCTGCCTGGGCCTGGGAGGGCTGCCCGCACACACTGGGGACACAGCAAGGACTTCAGGGTGCAGGTCTGTGAGGGGCAAGTGGGCAGGGCGTCCACGTGTCCTGCTTGGTGCTAGCACGTGAGAGGTGGCAGATGGGTGGCCGGTCAGGGTGGGCCAGAGGTGACAGCACTGAGGGGCGTAGGGAAGGTGTGTTAAGGCATTTGTGTCAGCGTGTTTCAGTAGGTGGGGGCACAGGTACATGCCTCCGTTCTCAAGGGGTACCACCTGTGCTCAGTCTGAGCCCAGGCCAGGGGCTCTGGCACAGTTCCCTGGGGACACGTCTCACATCTGAGCACAGGTTGGCGTGGGTGGGTAGGCTGCCCGCTGCTCAAGGATGCCTGCTAAGGCAGTGCTCTCTCTCTCTCTCTCTCTTTCTCTCTCTCTCTTTCTTAATGTATTTTTATTGATTTCAGAGAGAAAGAGAAACATCAATGTTGAGAGAGAATCATGGATCGGCTGCCTCCTGCACGCCCCCTACTGGGGACTGAGCCTGCAACTTGGGCATGTGCCCTTGACTGGAATCGAACCCAGGACCCTTCAGTCCGCAGGCTGACGCTCTATCCACTGAGCCAAACCGGCCAGGGCCAGGCAGTGTTCTTTGCATCTCATCGATGGTGCGTGTGTTTACGATAATTCCCAGCAGTGAGAAGGGCGGCCCCTCCAAGCGGATCACAAGCGGCTTGTCCGCTTCCTTCCCAGGAGCTCAGCAGGGCGCCATCGCCCCGTTTGGCACGTTCTCCTGGGCAGTGTCCTATCGTGTGGTCTTCGGCAGGCGGGTGTGTGCGTAGAAGGCCAGCGCACGTCAGGCTCCAAGCTGAGGGGGTTTACCATGCCGGACCCCACCCGAGGGCGGCTGCTGTCCTCCCCCATCCAGCCCTCAACACCCCTCTTCTGCGGCCCAGGGCCCTAAGGCACAGAGAGGTCGAGAAACCCTCCTGAAGTCCCGTGATGGATACACGTGGCGCCCAAGCCTGGCCTGGCGATACCCAAGAGGGGCTGTGCTGTGCCAGCCACCCTCTCCTGACCCTGCCCCTTGGGTCCACAGAGCGGGGTCACTGTGGGGGTCCCCGCCTCTCTGGCATCTTCTACTCTTCCTTTCTGCAAAGTCCTTTCCAGACCCAGTAAGGGTGCTCTTCTCTCTCATAACAAAGCGGAACTCAGCCCTCGGGGGGCCACTCCTCAGCTACCGCCACGTGCGGTGCAAAACCCCTGCGAAGACTTGGTGCTTGGTTTACTGCGTTACTGGCCTCAGGCTTTTTGTTGTTAATCCTCACCCGGGGACATTTCTCCTGTTGATTTTTAGAGAGAGTGGAAGGGAGGCGGAGACACACACAGAGAGAAACATCGATGTGAGAGAGACACATCCACTGGGACTGAGCCACTGCACCGAGGTACCTGTCCTTGACGGAAATAAAACCCGTGACTCTTCAGTCAGCAGGCTCTAACCACTGAGCAGCCAAACTGGCAAGGGCCCCATTCTCTTTAAACGCCCTCCAGCTCCCCTGCCCCCCCCCCACCCCCG